GGTTAATCCTGTTTATACTTTTCCAACTTTCCATATCGTTTTAGAGATTATTAAAAAAATACTTAAAAATCCTTAAAATCAAAACGCGTTTCTAGGATAATATTAATTCGATTTCATTCTTTGATAGATGCTTATTATTAATTTCGATTAACTTAAAAATTTCTGCTGTTGTTACATCACTTTCCATAACAATGAACTAAATATATTTTATGTTTCTTTAACATTTTAAAACAGTAAAAAATATAACGTTGACTAAAACTCTATCAATATCAATTCCAATCTGTCAAACGGTGAAAACAAAATGATATTACCATAGAAACGCATTTTGATTTTAGGACTTCATAAACAGATTAAACCATATTTTCATTAACCAAAATTTCATGTTTTTTTATAATTTTCTCTAAAACTGTATGAAAACTTAAAAAGACTAAACGGGATTAACCATTTTAGAACAAACAATTTTTTTTATGAAGAGTGCATTTTATAGAGTGCAATGGTAGAGAGATCGATGAACGGCCTAGGAAAAGCCTGCAAAAATAATAATATTACCAGCCATCACTCCAACAAAATATTTAAAGTCTGGTATTACCCATTAAACCGAAAGGCCGATGGATAGCAAGAAGGACGAATGAGTCGGTCTTTAGGGAAGGCAAAGATCCGAGGCGACTTTTCCAGATAGTCCAATATAAATACTTTCTTTAACTAATACTTTTAACTTCTATTAAAGTTATTTGTCATACAGGAAATAATTGGATCCTGCAACTTAAACGAGGAGAATACCCTTAATCGAGAAGCTTGGCGTCGGGAAACGGGAAAGCAGCTGAGACTGTAGCATAGAGCACATTCTTTGCGAACCGTAATAATAATAAATATAAATTAAACTAAATATGATCCGACTTTAAAAGATGATCCGACCAAGTAAAGATGTGCACTAAAACAAGATTCAGAGAACAGGACTGCAATGCAAAAATCAGGGAATGGAGGAGAAGTGGTAAGGAAAAACGCATCACTATATTTGAGCTGAATCTGGGTCGAAATGAAACTTTCCCGAAAACTGAAAAACTTATGGTGATTTTAAAAATCAAAAATAAATATCGATGATCCAGGTAAAAATATACAGGCAGAGATAGCTTTAAGTTATTTAATTTGAAATAATAAATCTTAAAATATATTACTCTAAGAAAATTGAATGAGAGATCGACATCACAAATCAAAATTGACAATCTGTCCTAGAAATTATAAAAAATAGTGGTATTCCACCTACGTTATTTTATGTCTACAATGCCATGCCATGCAGGAGATCGAAATAGATTGCATTTAAACATAAATAACTGTTTATATACACTAGAGTTTGGGGACTTCAGATTTTCATAGTCAACGATAAAGATGATCTGGAATATGTAAAAAAATTACAAAAGGCATCCAAACAGTGGATTTATTTACACCTATTTTTATTTTTTATGAATAAATAAAGAGAAAACTAAATACCCTAGTTTTGGCAGTATTTTCTATCCTTTAGCTCAAAATTGAAGTAGTAGAAGCATGTAACGAGTATAATTATTATCTAATGGTGGAATGGTAATTCAACATGCAAGGTGATACGAGAATTAAAAACGCATAAAACAAGCGAGGAGATCACTCCGATAAGTGCACGATACATTTTGCAGTTCCAATATAGAAAAACACAATGGAAGGTACATATACGGGGTGGTGCATCGGTGTTTTAAACATAGGAAAATCCCATGTAAATTTTGAACTGTCCAAATATTGGTTCCTCTATCAGGTCTGCGTATACTAAATACACATACCAAATTTGAACAATTTTGGACAAGTCTATTTTAAATAATTTAGAAAAAAATATTTTTAAATTATTCCTGAACAGGTAAAAATGCAAAACCAGATAAATGTCAACACACTTTAAGTTGCCAACCTATCATTTTATCATTGTAAAATGTATTTTGTTGTCATGCATACACTACTACGTTTTATCACCTACGGTTATTGTCTCCGAAATGCATTTTGTAATTTAACACTTATTCGAATTAGGCAAAAGCGCTAATGTATAGAAAATACAATTTGATTGATTCACAAAATTGTAGGTTGACAACTTAAGGAATGTTGGCATTTGCATGGTTTTGCAATGTTACCTGTTCAGTTTCAATTTCAAACTAGATACAGTTTTCCTTAAATTAGTAAAAATCGGCTTATTCAAAATTGCTCAAATTTGGCACGTGTATTCAGCATATGTAGACCCTTAACACATCGCATCTTTTCCAGGCTGTCGTAACGACATAAAATATGTTCTGTCGTTTCTTCTTCAGATTGAAAGAACCTGCACATGGTCATCTGTCATTTAATATGAACTTTTTTGCCTGTCTCTGTCCTGATCCTGCCTGATCCTCGTAATACAAGTCTACTTTATTATGGAAACATTGGAGGACAACATTGTAACATAACAAATGAAGTAAACTGAAAATTTCTTATGCCTTCAGTTTACTTCAACTTTTATGTTAGATATATCTCGAAAAGATTCGAAACGAAGAAATCGAACAGCTAATATGTATAGATGAATAACTACTAAGTTGTAGTGTGTTGTTGTTATATATACAACATATACAACTTAAACATGTATAAATGGTGGTTTCATGTTCAGAAAATGGACGAGACTATAATATCTAAAAAAGTAATGAAATGCATACCTGAAAGGTGCAGAAAATATATGGCAGACTAATGAACACTTTGAAATAAGAAAATCGATGACATTTCCCATATAAATTTACATATAAAATGACAGCGATCTTCATTTCCCAGCCAACTGGACGCCGTTTTTTCTCGATACGGTACAATATTATCGAAAGAAAATGGCGTCAGCGATGGCTTTGATCTTTGATATGATTGCTGTTATTTTATATTTATGTAAAATTATATAGGAAATGTCATCGATCTCCATTTTTAAGTCAACTAGACGTCGTTTTTTCGATCATATGGTATAATAAAAGTAATAAAAATTATGTTAGTTATTACAATATGTATTATGTATTTTGAAGTTTTACTTCTTAGTTACATCAACGATATTCCTAACGGAAATGTTAAGTTGTTGTTTGTTAAATGTTAAATGTTAATAAATGTTTGTTGTTTGTTAATACGCATCACAGAAATGTAGACATATTTTATTTAGTTATAATTACACATAGAAATCTGATATAGGTAACTTAAAGCTGTATAAATTTGATATCTAAAGTTATTTTCCAATAATCCTAATAATCAATATGTACTTATCGAGCTCATTAATCAGGTGATATCGACAATTATTATATTGGGTGCATTAAACTGCAAAAAATATAGTTTTCTAATCTCGAGGTTGTCTTATTAGAGGCTCCATTGGGTAGCGGTTGCTAAGTTGTCTACTTATATCGAAAATCATTAATCATCCTATCAGATAAATGCGTGGCGCATTTATGAGGGATGTTTACATATTTTATATATATATATATATTTTTTTTTAAATCATGAATATCTTTGGATCACGGGACTAATACGTGTTCTTCAATTACATGCGCATGTTTTATTATTTTGAGTATATTATTACGATTTTTAGACATTAGTTTTAAAAACCTATTATTTAATAGTGTATCATATACATATGTAAATACGAGTATATTAATATTTAATAGTGTCCCCTATGGTCTCCTATGGTAGACGATGGTCCCATAGTAAAAAACAGCGGCTGTTAACTAAATAATAACTAAACTGTTAACTAAATAGTAACCTCTTAATGGTGGAAAATTGGAAAAAATCTTTATAGGTCTCTAGGCCAGGTTTATAGGTCTAAGAAATGGCTGTAAATTATTTTCAAGTTCGAACTGTTTATTACTTAATAGAGAATTTGAATTTAGCGCCTAAAGCGCGCCATATTGGTGACGTAGAGAATGACATAGCAGCCATGTTCAAGAAAAAGAATTGTACACACATTCTTGTAAATCACACATAGCAAATAAAGTTTCATAGAAGTTACAACTTCTTTCAATCCACAACATACACACAAAAATCAACAGTCCACTGCACAATCATATTCAAACAAAACATTGGTCCTTCGACGCAGAATAGCATCAAAACGGTTGAGAAATCAGCAAGAATACACGGAAAAGGAGTTGAACCTAACATTTTACAACAAACAAAAGAAGCCAAATCATAACAGAATTCATTCAGCAAGACACAGCAATTCATCAAGTAGGTCCATTCCTTTATATCCTAGCTCATACAATCATTTAAACCAAAGCTAATATTTGATTTTACAATAAAAGTCAATTTAATCTCATATATATCATAAAAAACACATTATAGTCGTTAAACTAGCATAGTATCAGGTAGGATAGTTGTATAATTAACATAATTTCAAGCATTTACAGTAGTTTTGACATCCAAAGAGTGAATTATTTAAACAAAATCATAGCAAAATCATAGCATTCAATTTAGCCGGTTATTTCTGGATATTATTCGTTTACATGTCGGTTTCAAAACGACTTCCGAAGAATTTTTCACGCTAACGTTTGCATGGGGGTCAAAATTTAAATTAATAGGTAAAATAATTAGAAACGTAATTATTTAAACATAAATTAGTTACATACTTCATACTTATTTAAACAATTATAATAAATAGTAACAATGTCGGACGAAGAACTCAAAACATTAAAAGTTCAATACAATATGCTTAAAAATCGATTATTTCGGTTTGAACAATTTTTAAATGATGCAGCGAATCATAAGAAAATCGATGAAATTGATATTCGTTTACAAAGATTAGATGAAACATGGAACGAATTCCAAACTGTACAACTTTCTATAGAATTAATTGACAATTCTGACGAAATTTGTGCTGAGAGGAATGAGTTTGAAGACAAATATTTTTATTTAGTTTCAAGATTCAGATATTAATTAACACTAATAAAACACACTCTAACAACAATCAAGTAGTTCCTAATAATTATTTAAATCCGTCAATGAACATAAAACTACCTCAAATCGACCTGCCGCATTTTAATGGAACATACGAGAACTGGTTACCCTTTTATGAGGGATTTAAAGCACTTGTTCTTGATAATCCGTCACTCAACAATATTCAACGCTTATATTATTTACTTTCGGCTTTAAAGAATGACTCGATTCAGGTAGTTCGGTCACTAGAAATCAGCGATCACAATTTTGATATAGCATGGCAATTGCTGAAGGACAGATATGAGAACAAACGTGTAATTGTTCAAAATCATATAAAAGGCATATTTGAGCTCCCCGTTATGAGCAAAGAAAATCACGGTATCTTAAGAAAAATTATAGACGGTTTTTCTAAACATCAAAGAGCTTTAAAGTCATTAGGACAACCAGTCAATACCTGGGATACATTATTGATTTATATTTTAAGCAATAAATTAGATAATCATACAAGACGCGAATGGGAAGCATCTTTAAAGTCAGATCAGCTACCAGATATAACTATATTTTTAGATTTTCTTAAAAATAAAGCTCAGTTGCTCGAAACATTAGACACTCGTGAAACAAATAAGGTAGTAGGAGTTAAGTCAGATAAATCATTCATGCGTTCATCAAGTCATTTAGTCACCAAAGCCAATGAGCAATTTAGAACTGATTGTAGGTTTTGCAGAGATAATCACATGATTTACAAATGTGATAAATTATTAGCTCTTTCTCCTAAGGCAAGATATACGGAATTAAACAAGTTAAATATATGTTGTAATTGTTTAAAATTCGGACATTCAGTAAATACATGTCGAAGTAGTAGTGCTTGTAACCAATGTCATAAACGACATAACACTGTACTGCATTTCAATAATTATATTGTCAAAGAAAAAAACGTTACAGAATCACCTACATCAAATTGCACAGAATTATCTACAGTTCAACCAACACATTCCAGTGTTCACATATCACAAGAAGGTCAGGTTCTATCAAATGCAGAAGATTCCATCGTGAACGTGACTTCTCTAGAACAAAATTTGTTACATTCCAAATCAGTAAACGAGCAAGTATTGTTATCCACCGTGCAAATACATGTTTTTGATATAAATAATAAGCCTGTCAAATGTAGAGCATTATTAGATTCAGGTTCTCAATCGAATTTTATGACTCATGAATTATTCAAAGTGCTTAAATTAGACGCTTTACCGATTCAAATACCGGTAACAGGAATTAATCAAACAAAGTTAAATATTAATAAAAAAGTTTTTGCCAAAGTTAAGTCAACTGATAGCTCGTATAGTTCAAATCTGTCATTTTTAATTTTAAACAAAATAACAAGTGAGTTACCACAGTATTATTTTAGTCCTTCCGAGTTGAACATTCCAGACAATATTGAAATATCAGATCCAGAATATAATAAACCAGGTAAGATAGACATGCTGTTAGGCAGCGGAGTTTTCTTTTCTTTACTATCATCAGGCAAAATCGAACTAAATAAATATGGTCTTATCTTACAACAAACTAAATTAGGTTGGATATTAGCCGGTCCATTACAAATTCCCGAGTCAAACTCTTCTGAAATAGTCTCTTGTTCTAATGTAGCTTCCAATTGTCTTTTTACGCAAAATGATAATCTTCTAAACGAACAACTCGAGCGTTTTTGGCAAATTGAAGATCTGTCATCTGATAATACAAAGTTATCAAATGAAGAACTTGATTGTGAAATACATTTTCGAAAACATTTTGAACAGGACACTACCGGTCGTTTCACAGTACAACTTCCGTTGAAGAGCAATCATACTGAATTAGGTGAATCAGTAAGTACAGCAATCCAGCGTTTAAAGCACCTGGAAAGTAAGTTAGCACGCAATGATGACTTACGTAAACAATATCATGAATTTCTGCGAGTATATGAAGACTTAGGACATATGTCAAGAGTTAATATCGAATTGGATAAATCCAATGAAATACATAATTATTTACCACATCACGCGGTAGTAAAAGAAGATAGTAGTACTACACGTGTAAGAGTAGTTTTTGATTCATCATCTAAAACGGCATCAGGGTTGTCTTTGAATGATGTGATGATGATAGGTCCTGTTCAGAGGAACTTATTTGATATTTTAATACACTTACGCATATTTAATGTAGTCATTACAGCGGACGTTGCAAAAATGTACCGACAAATATTTGTCCATGAATCGCAGCGCAATCTACAAAGAATTGTATGGCGCAAAGAACCATCGGAAGAAATTAAACATTATCAGTTGAATACAATTACTTATGGAACAGCTAGCGCTTTACTGGGATACAAAAACTGATATGTTTCAGTATCTTATAACATATAAAGACTTAAAGAAACCAATTACAAAAAAGGTTATACTATCTACAATAGCCACTATTTTCGACCCACTGGGTCTCATATGTCCATGCATTATAAGAGGCAAATTATTCCTACAACGGCTCTGGCAATTAAAAATAGACTGGAATGAAGAAATTCCTGGCGATTTTCAAGACATTTGGAGAGATTTTATCGATACCCTGACAGACATAAATAAAATACAGATTCCGAGACATGTTATACTGACCAAACCGTCAAGGTTATATTTACATGGATTTTCTGATGGATCAGAAGTAGCGTACGGTGCTTGCATTTACATTGTGTCGACCGATGACAGTGGTCATAGTTTATCAAATTTAATATGTTCTAAATCACGTGTTTCACCGATTAAAACCATATCTTTACCGAGATTAGAACTATGTGCAGCGTTATTGTTAGCTCAATTAATGAACACGGTTCGACAAGCATTGAAACTTGATGTTACTTGTTACTTTTGGACAGATTCTAAAATCGTGTTGGCGTGGTTAAATGATCAACCTAACAGATGGAAGACATTTGTAGCCAACAGAGTGTCAGAGATTCAGTGCTTGAGTGAACATTCCGATTGGTATCATGTACCTTCCCAATAATCCTGCGGATATTGTATCTCGTGGCTTACAACCTTCAAAATTAATACATTCTAAATTGTGGTGGCATGGCCCTGAGTGGCTTACTCAATCCATAGATCATTGGCCATCAAAAGGTGAAATTAAAATAGATACAATTCCCGAAATGCGCAAGGAAAAGATTATTTTAACGTATCATACAATTACTGACAGTTCAATATTTTCTCGATATTCTAGTTTTTCTAAACTACAGCGCGTAGTAGCTTATATTTTAAGATTTAATCATAATTCTAGAAATAAGGATAAACTAGATAAGGGTCTTTCCCATAACGAGTTGGAAAGAGCTACTCTGGTATTGTGTAAAATGGTTCAGGCACTGGAGTTTCCAGTAGAACTAGCTCTTTTATGTCAGAGCAAGTCGATTCATAAAAATAGTAATATTTTATCATTAGATCCTTTTATAGATAAGGATGGTCTTATTAGAGTAGGAGGGCGACTTAAACATTCATCTCTAACATTCGAACAAAAACATCCTATTTTGTTGCCCGGAAAACACATATTAACAAAGCTTTTAATAAAACACGAGCATCATAAATGTTTACACGCCGGTAGTCAATTAATTCTTGCACGATTGCGTACTAAATTTTGGCCAATTAATGGTCGTAATGCTGTTCGCAGTGTATTAAAGAATTGCCTCACGTGCTTTAAAACCAATCCAAAAACAGCGGTTCAAAAAATGGGTGATCTACCTGAATCGCGAATCACACCTTCTAGGGCGTTTTATCATTGTGGCATTGATTACACTGGATTTTACAATTTAAAAGACGGAAAATCAAGAACACGGACTTTAGTTAAATGTTATTTATGTATATTCGTTTGTCTAGCTACTAAGGCCGTACATGTTGAGTTAGTTTCCGATCTTACTACTGAAACATTTATGAACGCGTTTAAGAGATTCGTATCTCGGAGAGGTCTATGTCGACATATTTATACTGACAACGGTACTAACTTTGTTGGTGCTCATAACAACATGCAAGACGTTTATAAGATATTAAAAAACTTAAACGATAATGAAAAGTATTATAACTATTTTAAAGATCATATTATCGAATGGCATTTCATACCTGCAAGATCTCCTCATTTTGGAGGCATGTGGGAAGCGGCAGTAAAATCGTTTAAACATCATTTAAAACGAGTTGTTACAGATGCTAGTTTAACGTTTGAGGAATTTTACACGGTCTTGACTCAAATAGAGGCGATTTTAAACTCCAGACCTTTATCCCCTCTTTCAAATGACCCTTTAGACCTTTACCCATTAACCCCAGGACATTTCTTAATTGGCGATGCTCTGGTCTCAGTTCCTCAACAACCAGTAGTTGATATACCATTGAACCGATTGTCCCACTACAAGAAACTACAACAAATGGTGCAGAGTTTTTGGAACCGCTGGTCAAATGAGTATCTGCATACCCTACAGCAACGTTCCAAATGGAAGGAGGACAACTGCAACGCGTTGCCATCGGCTCGCTGGTTCTCCTCAAGGACGAAAATCTTCCCCCCATGAGTTGGCAACTGGGTAGAATCATGGAGGTGATTCCCGGCAAAGACGATAAGGTTCGGGTAGTGCTGGTGCGTGTCCGTGGTGGTATTGTTAGAATATAAGTTATGATATGTTAGTAATATATGTCATTTTTGATATTGTAGTTAATATTGTTAATTCAAATTAATATTTTATTTTATTGAAATAGTTAAGTATTTCAAGGCCGGCGCCATGTTTATTACTTAATAGAGAATTTGAATTTAGCGCCTAAAGCGCGCCATATTGGTGACGTAGAGAATGATATAGCAGCCATGTTCAAGAAAAAGAATTGTACACACATTCTTGTAAATCACACATAGCAAATAAAGTTTCATAGAAGTTACAACTTCTTTCAATCCACAACATACACACAAAAATCAACAGTCCACTGCACAATCATATTCAAACAAAACACGAACTTTGACTGTTGGTGGCGAGAGTAGTTTAGTTGCCGAACGAGACTATGTCCGTTTGAATTTTTTAGTTAAATTATAATAAAATTAATAAATAAAATAAAATAAAATATTATAAATGTTTTAAAGCAAATAAATGTTTTTTTAAAAAGTGAATCGCATTATTTGTGATTTAACATATATATATAATATATAATAAAAATAAATGCATACAATTCAATAAAGGAGCGCACACTATGCCGTACGGAAGAAGACTATGCCGGACTAGCACTTGGATATACTTACTGTCACATTAACAGTCTAGCCTTTTATCGATTGCAATTCCAAGAAGACATGTTATCCCTAGTTTTCACTTCTACATTATTATATAAATATTAATAGAGGGATGTTGAAAATATACAGGATGGCGCCTCTCATACGACGCGAAGGCTCCAAGGAGAACGGTAGTATATATCGAAATGAAATTTCGGGAGTAGGTTGATTGAAAGCATTTTTTAAAAGTCTATAGTTTTATAAGGTGTCCCCAAAAAAAGTTACGCATCAAAGTTGATTTTTTTCTAATGGAACACTCTATATATTAATTGATTTTCGGATTCTGGGAAGAAAATAAATGTGAGTTTCATTAAACAAGCATATGCCTAAAATGTAAAGATTTTTACATATTTCACATTTTGTGTCTAATATTTAATTACAATAACTATTGTATGATAAACCAAATTAAAATTTGACCCGAAAATTTATACAGAGTGAGACAAAATTAATATTGAACATTGGTTACATTTAAAAGCATGTTATTCCTTTATTTTATATATAGACCACCCAGTATATGATTCCGGTGTTCCATGGAAAATTCATATATCTTCAAAACACTATTATGGTTGCCTACCCGTCAGATAAAGATTTTCCTAAATATTTTTTTTTATTCTTATGATTTTGTGTCAGTAGATCTTTGTTAGTTGATAAAATCTAGGCGGCCGTGATATACCTCTTGTTAACTTAACAAAAATTAAAGGATTTATGGTAAAATACTCAAATATATATTTTAATTATTACAGAATTAAAACCGGACATAAACGTATAATTATGTGACAAAAACTAGTTGGATGAAATTAAATGCTCAAAATGTTTTCGTTTCTGTTCAATGCATAAAATGATCAAAAAACTTTTTCATGTTAAAATGTACACCCAGTATATGATTCCGGTGTTCCATGGAAAATTCATATATCTTCAAAACACTATTAAGGTTGCCTACCCGTCAGACAAAGATTTTCCTAAATATTTTTTTTATTCTTATGATTTTATGTCAGTAGATCTTTGTGTTATTTGATAAAATCTAGGCGGCTGTGATATACCTCTTGTTAACTTAACAAAAATTAAAGGATGGTAAAATACTCAAATATATATTTTAATTATTACAGAATTAAAACCGGACATAAACGTATAATTATGTGACAAAAACTAGTTGGATGAATTTATTGCTCAAAATGTTTTCTTTTCTGTTTAATGCATAAAATGATCAAATAACTTTTTCATGTTAAAATGTAGAGCATAGTAGCATATGTAGAGTTCTACTTCGAAAAGCAGGCACAATCATTTTTCTCATGTTGTCCAAAATAGTTGATTGAATTTTGTAAACACTGTCTTTAACATCTTCATAAAAAAAACATACTAGATAAATTAGGACCATGTAGGTGAATACTTAAATCTATTAATTGGTGAATATATACTGCATTCACCAACTAATAGAATCGTATCAATTATCTCTGACGTAGGATAAGTTTCCATTTTTAACAAATTTCTAAGAATTTTTTTAGAGAGGGAGTTTCAACTGACACAAAATGATAACGGGTTGTTAAAGTTGAACTAATTTGACAGCTATGGTGAAGTAAGGTGAGATATATCACAGCCACCTAGATTTTATCAAATAATAAAGAATTACTGACACAAAATCATAAAAATGAAAATATTTAGGAAAATCTTTGTTTGAGGGGTAGGCAACCTTAACAATATTTTGAAGAGACATGAATTCCCCATTGGGTGTTCCATTTAAAATAAAAAAATAACTTGCTGTTAAAGGTTTCCAATATTCAATATTAATATTGTTTCACCCTATATAACTTTTTGGATCAAGTTTTAATTAGATCTAAAGCACCACAGTTATTTTAACTACATATTGGGCTATATCGGATAAATTCCAATTTAGATTTTAGCTTTTATTAAAATTTAAAAATTTTTCTTCATTTTTAGACACCTTACATTTTAGTCATATACTTCTCTAACGAAACTTATCTTTATTTTTATTCTAGAAGGTCAAAGAGATTTTTATCTTAGAACGGCAAAATGATACACCGGAATTTAAGTCGGCTATTTTAGGTCCCCATTGCGCTTCTTTGATACGTTCCTTCCTTAATCTTTTTATTCAGAGATCCTGTTAAAATTAATAACCTTGTTTCCAACTCAATCTAATATAGAATTTTTTGATAGATTATTTGATTAAAACAAAATATTTCCTTACACCCCGGGCACTGCTAATTACAAAATACCATCGTCTCGTTTAGAACTACAATTCATTTTTAATATGCGGAAAACTATTACCAGAGTGCTTTATCCCGTCCTTACCTGCCAGGCGGTGCGGCGTAAGATAATTTTACCTGTTTCCTTTTCGAGCCATCCACAAACAAAGTCGTTGCTATCCGAAGCAGAAAAATAGAACAGACACGTAAGTATATTATGCGTATACTAATTAGAATTTTATATTATGGTCGGAAATGGTTTAAGAGCATTTTATAGACTTCTTAAACATGGAGAGAGACAGAAGAAGAAAGCGAAGAGGGAGCGCGAAAGCTCTACGGGCAAAAAAGAACTATTATGTAAAATAACGCTTCGGATCGGTCGTTGTATTTACCTCGCGGTGTATCATAATTTAAAGTTATACGTTTCCGTTGAATATTGAAGTAGACGATAAAGATCGGACGATTAAACACGGGTGTACGGCGGTAATTAAAAAATAATACGTTTAACTGCAAAATTAACGCTCAAGCAACGTTTTAAACTTTATTATCGTGATAGAATAATTTTCTGCCAAAAAAATAAATAATAATTATGAAATGAAACATCTTTTAGGACTTACCAGGGCTTTTATGACTTTTATTGACGACCTCAACAAGTCGAAAATACATCGACTTTGAAGTAAATGTCGACAATGTCACATGCGCACGTTTGAGGTTAGATTTGTCGTTAGAAGAAGAGCAATTAATCCCCTCCCCTGATTAATTAATGACTACTCATTTCTCCGGATATTTTTGGATATTTAGTTTGACTTAGGCTATCCCGTAAACTTCACAAGCCGTGGTTAGTGTTTCCCTATGTTCAATTAATTGCACTACATAAGGCTACATTAGACTTTAGGTCTATGTTATAAGTTACTAAAAACGTTGAAATGTATCAGTAGTACTACTTAATCTTTTGCATTTTTCCTTCTTGTTAAAATAAGCAGTAACATTATTTCAGGTATAATTGCAAGATTTTTACCTACCCTAATCGACATTTGATCGCGGAAAATCGACTATACATAATATATCATATTTTACGCAAAATTGTAAAATTTCCATGGATTTTGTGCCTAAACGGTTGACTTTAGCAAAAATTTTCATAAAACCTTTTTTATAGGATTATAGGATTTTATTCTCTTTAATTTTGCTCTCCTCAAATTTTCGCGAAAAACGCATAGTTTTCGAGATATTCACAAAATACCGATTTTGGGCGCCATCTTGGCGGCGCCGGCGGCAAGTCTGAAAATGTGCATTTTATGGATTTTAGTTAGCGACCCCAAAACCAATAAACCTGCAAAGTTGCAAAACTTCCGGACTTTTTTCCAATCAAAAATCCCCAATGAGTGAACTAAAAAACACTCAGATGTTAGTGTGTTAGTGTTAATAAGAACCCGTGTTTTAGGAATATGTTTTCCACTCGCTCATCTGTCCACTCGATTAGTATCGACACCCATTAAATCAGACACAAAGAAAAATTTACAATGCTTCGCTATACTACACCATTTTGAAGCTCTAGTTAGACAAATTGTTTTATGTGAAACAAACTGGTTCTGTCTACGATTCGTTTTTATATTGTTGGGGTTTGTCGGCCAGTAAACAAAGAGTGTCAATTTTTTCTGCTTTTAATCTGTCATTTTGTTTAACTTTAAATTTAACTTTTTTTTTCGCTATTGCCGTATTTTATATTAATTAAGAGAGTGTTTCAATTAACTTTATTAAGATTTTTTTAATGGCATATCTGCTAGATTTCGCCTGCTGTCGATTGTTGAGAAATGTCACTGATTTTCTTACTTACATATTCTTTCTTCTTTATTAAATATTCCTTTTAGTCCTTTATTACTATTATTATAATTATGTACTATGAACCACTAACCGTTATCAAGTCTGAACTAATCTGTCTTAACTACGTAGGCCTATATGCTTGACCAGATCTTTCACTCGTGACGGAGTTGAGTGGAGTGAAGAGTTAGATCATCCGCTGAAGACACCAGCATTAATTTACTGGTACTATTACGAAAGT